ACGTTCTAAGGATAAAGCGTGAAAAAATTGACTGTCATGCTCGTGCGTCTTATGTCACAGCTTTGGTGCGGACTTTCACATTTGAACTTTGGAGGACAAGCTTCTGCACTTATCATAGAATAAAGTGAAATCGATGTGAAAACGCTCGGAATATACTTTTTCATATTCTTTTGAAACAACAATTTTGGAAATAGTCCCGTTATCTGGGGGACATATTTTATTAATTTACTACCTTTTGCAGTTTCTGGGATCCATCCGAAAGCGATTATAAAAAACATAAAAGTCTACAGATATATAATAATAATAAAGTCTTTATTTAAACACAAAGAATCAGGAGAGACATAAGCAGCGAAGTTTAGCCAAGGCTACTCTTACACTTAACTGCTTATGTCGGTTACCTTAGATGTTCAATACAAAAAAAAATTAATAATATAAAAAAAGAACATAAACACCGAGAATTTCATGAACTAAAACTAAGTACTTATATTTAACTAGGCTACCGAAACTGAGCCAATTTAAATCTTTATATTTTTCACTAATGTGATCATATCTTCGCAGACCGAAAATAAAGCGAACGCAGTCATTTTGAATGATTTGAAGCCGGCTTTTCGTTAACTGATCCAGACACGGTAAATAAACGACATCACAGTAGCTGAGTATTGGCATCACCAATGATTCTCAAAGTTTTTTCTCAACTTGAAGTTGAGCAAGCATCGAACAGAATAAAGGGCTCTAGAGCGAAGATATGTTTTTTTTTCATTAAATTAGCTGTATGGCGGCGGAATCTTAACTCGCTATCAACTTCAATACCCAATATCTTGCTGTTTGAGTATGTTGTAGCACTATGCCATCACAAGTTAACTGGAAAGATTCTTCAACATTTCTTCTTTTATGGTCAAAACAAAACAGTATTATTTGTGTTTTGTCTGGATTTATAACGAGATTATGATCTACGGAAAATTGATGTATTTTATCCAAATGTATTTGCAAAGTAGGTGCTGCATATTGCAAATCTGTGGTGTCGAAATGAAAAATTATTTGCGAATATAAAGGTGTATATTAAAAAAGCACAGGGCCCAAAATTGAGCCTTGAGGACCACCTGAAGGTATTATCGTGATGTCGGACTGTATGTTATTAATACTGACACATTGCGTGCGACTTGAATAATAGCTGTGAGAGAAACCCACTGCATTGTCATCAAATCCTATGTGCTTCAGCTTTGCGCATAAAAGTGTATGATTAATTCGGTCGAATTCTTTGGAATAATCAAGTGATACTACTGCTGTAGTCATTTTTTTGTCCAGTGATCGACTAACATCATCACAAAGACCTAAGAGAGCTGAAGTGGTACTATGGTGCTTCCTGAAACCTGACTGACATGAAGATATTATTTTATGTTTATCTATATATTGAACAACTTGTTGCTGTATGATTTTTTCTAAAATTTTTGAGAGTACGGGTAATAAGCTTATAGGTCTTAGAAGTTTAAGTTCAGTAGGATTTGATATTTTAGGTATAGGCATAATTAAGGCCAGCTTCCACTGTTTAGGGTGGTAACCTTTTTCTAAACTCAAATTTATAATGTAAGTAATATGGAAGAAAGTTTTAGGAAGAGTTACTTTGATCATAGTTAATGATAGAGTGTCAATTCCCTTAACATCTGATTTCAGATCTCTAATGGCTTCTAATATTTCTGATGGCTGGACAACACGGAACCGAAAGCAATTTCGGTTGTCCAATTTGTTGCTGTCATAGAACCGACATACATTTTCTGAAACACTGACAAAGCTATACACGGACATAAAATAATTGTTTATTTTATTAGCGTCAGCTAGTTCAACTGGTATTCCTGGCTTTGAGCTAAACTTTATATTGAGCATGCTCAATCCAGACCATAAAGCTTTCGGATTAATTTGGTCGGTTAGTTTTTGAATGTAGTATTTCTTTTTTATGCGAATTTGACGTAATGCTTTACTTCTCAGTTGCTTGAATTTCGGAGTTCATTGTCATTTTCCAAACGTTTCAAACCGTCAGTTATTTCAACTCACAACGAATTTTCTATTGGAAAATCCATCCCTGTTTCAGCGTTCGCGAATAATACACCGACAAAGAAGGCTAGTGGGTTAGACAGAGACAGGCAGATAAAGTCAGAAATAGGTAGGTAGCTAGGGGAAGAACCTATATGAACGATAAAGTCAACGTGTACTGCTCTATGTATGCGCGACTTTTAATGCGCGATTTATAGTTGCAATTTCCCATACTATGTATTATTTACATAGCTTTACTTATACATTTCTTTGCTTCATTGAAATAAGTTTTGTTTTTCATTATTAACTCGTACAATACTTTGAAAAGTATTGCATATGGATCTAAATCGATAACCATGGTTAAATTGTGTGTTTTCGCTTATAAGAAGAGTAAAGATGTACACTACATTATATCATTCATACTAGGATCGTGTACAATTCGAAACAAACCATGACTGTAGTACCAGTGAAATGCACAAATGCTGTCCAAATTGTAAAAGTGCACACCAGGATTTTAATCTAGGATTACCTATTAATCGTGGACAATTCCACAAAGAATGCGAGGTGTATGAAAGCAAAGTTGAGCGTGAAATATGAAAATTAGTTATTCAAATGGATAGCAATTAATAAGCCCAAAAACAAGATGTGTCTAAATCAGTAAGTAGTGAATAGTGAATATAACTGACTATTTCCCTCGTCTTAATTTCTACCAATTACAAACGCGCAATTTTGAATTAAAAATGGTTTCTAGATGGAAAAACTGTATGACAACACCTGTCAGCAGTTTTTTCGAGTTTACCCGTGGCAAAACTTGACAGCTGTTGTCACCAAACATTACAATACCTTTGATAACAAGTAATTATGGTCTCTAGGACACAGTCTTGTCAAATACCATTCAGGCATCTAATTTTTTCCTGTGAAAAAAATCGAAAAAACGATGCAAAGTAATTTTTTTTTAACAAAAAATTCGTGTAGGTGCACTTCGGCTCGGATTTTTGTTGCCACCAACACTCATGCTTATTGTTAAAATATTAATTAGCACCCGGTTTTTTCGATGTTTTTCGGAAAAATTAGATGCCCTTATGATATTACTTGTGAACATACATACATATTTAATCATCACAGGTATCCTGAATAAGATAGATGAAGCTCAACAGTTTTTAAAATGGAAAAGACCATCGATATTGCCTTACCGAAACACATGCTACAAATAGCATCACTGATAATGAACTACAAATTGCTAATTATACAACATATAAATGCAACTCCAACTGCAGACATTCTGGAGGAGTAGTGATTTATGTTTAGAATAAAATATAGATAAAGTTATTCAGTCGTGGTGCTTTGGACTAATAATGGGTATGTACATATATAGTTAAAATTATATATTTGGGCAACGTTATGACCTTTGTACCTTTTACCGTTCACCTAACAGCAACGAAGGTGCATTCTTAACCTTTTTGAAGAGAAATGCCAAAAAAATGTGGAATTTTATAAATAGTATAAACAAAATATAATGTCACAAGTGTCGATGTACGATGAAAAAGGTCACCGTCGTCACCGAAACGTCGCACAACAAGGAGCAATCTTAAAGATATATGTGGTTTGATTTGGCCAGATAAACATGGGGGACTATCGGCATGAAAACCACAGTAACCAGTGGAAACACAAGCAGGCTTTCACCAAAAACATTCTAACGGGTCTCCAGCTGGTTACTGAAAATTGGAGAAGAGAATTAGACACAGAAGAAGTAGTCATATTTTTGGAGGAGGAGAGCATTTGAAAGAACTGATAAGGATATTTTGTCAGGCAAATTGAAGTGTTTTAGACTGGATTAAACATTATGCAAGCTACAAAAGTTAATGACACTATTTCATCAAAAATTGAAAATACCATATGTGTTCTATAGGGCAATATCCTGGGGCCACTTCTTTTTATTTTATACATAAACGATTTACCTGCAATGTTCAGCATGGTATGTCTTATATAAATGAAGGCTTGAAACCGGTTTCAAAATGGTTGGCATCTAACAAAGCCAGGTTAATAGGAAAAAGCCAATGTACAAATGTTCAACTAAATATTGAAGATGAAGATATTGAATTTGAAGAAAATTTAAAATACTTTGGGGTTTTTTCTTGACTCTTGATTACATTTTGATATTCATTATGAAGAAAAATATAAGTCTAGTGGTGAGGTGGGATATTTATCAAGAGTTTCTGAACGTCTGACTTCATATAGTAGAAAAATTATATATAATAACATTATCATTCTTCCAAATTTCTTTATCTGTTGGACTATTCAATATTTAGCTAATAGCTCCATTTTTATAAGGCTGTAAATTTTACAAAGCACGTGCATGAGGATAGCACTGAATAAATATAAATGCAAAGAAAATTATCAAATATCTAGAATTGATATTCATTTATAAAATTAAAAATATTATATTTCCACTGTGTCTAACTAAATTAACGTCATCAAACGATGACCATCATTTCATAATGCCTTAAATAAAGATGACTTCCACTTAATGTGCAAAAAGTACAATATGTTACAAATATGTATTCCATCAAGGAATTCAAAGTAAAATGGAGAAAACCCTTGTTAAGTCTACAATTACAGCTTGCTCAGCATATGCATCATACTTCTTCAATTTACTAATTCTAAGGTTTTTTTTAATTATTCTTTCCATGTAGCCAAACCTCGGGTATTTTAGCTGGTGAAGATTCCACGCTGCGCGGTTCATACGCGTTTCGATTGCGAATTATAGTGATAAATGATTGCAGGTCAAAAATTAGTTTTGGCGATTACGCTAATAGTTCTACGGATATGGAAGTCTTGCCATACGGGTATCATACGTGTTGTCACTAGAATGCTCTGCTGCTACATGTCGTGCTGCATACGGTCCTAGTATTATATGGTATAATGGGTGAAGGCCTTAAAGCAAAACACCAAAAATATGTGAAAATACTTACTTTTGTGGTTCGTTAGGGTCCCTCTTCTTTTTTTTCTTTTGTACCTTCGGTTTCTTCTGCGCTTTCGTTAATGTTTGATCTGCCGGTTCCGGGGAAGGCCTTTTCATTGCTGGGATCTGGAACAAATAACGAGAATGAACTATCACGTAAATTCTAGAGCCTGATAACCTAATGAGATAGAGCTTAGTGTAACATCTCAATCTTGCTGATAACTATGTTTTCTGTTCTGTAAATGAAACCAATGCCTAGAAAACATAAAGAATTATCACAGATATAACTCATATAAACTCATAAAACCATTCCACGTTTTTCTTATTCCTCGCAGATCAACCGGCCTATAATAATTAAAACGTTATGGTAGTCTTTGTAGTGCTAACCCCAGACATCAACATTCGACTTCGGCTTGTGTACCTATGTCATTTGACTTTTCAGCTAACGTTCCGATCTTATCCTCAAGAAGTTATTGACAAATGTACTTCTCCACCGCTTTTCTGTGTTTTTGAAGTGATTTTAATAGATCGACACCTTCCAGGAGATCTACAGTTGGTATAAGAAATGTGACAAGCAAGTTAGTAGTGAAGGAGTGATCATCAAACTCAAGAAGGCGTAACTTTCTGTAGATCGTCCATTGGAAATTATGTGTATATAATGTACGTTGATTGAGTGCTCCGGCTAGAAGTTGCTTGAGAAATACGTTATTTATACGCTTTTCTTTTAGACAAGACTATTAGGAATAAAAATATTTATATTCCGTACTTTAGTAGTAGCGAGTACAACAGTCAGTGTTGAAACTTGTCGAACCTGCCATACTTTAGAATACAGGACACAACGTCCGATCAGTCAGCTGCATAGGCCTCTTTTCTATCAAACTTCCTCATGCAGAATTAGTTAGCTTCAAGGTCTTCATACATTTGTATAAAAAAAGTATTTGAAGTGGTTACAATCTTTTCTTATTCCCATAAAGAACAAATGTATGTTCAATCTGCTACCCCAAATATTGGGCAAGTCTCTACTTCTGTTCAATAACTATGGCGGTCAACGCTGTTCTGAGCCCGCTATGATTTTTTTTGGCTACGGTGATATATCTTTATCCATGGTTTTGCGTATTGTATATATTTATATTGAATAAATTGTAATACTTTATACGTGAATAAACTATTATTGTAGCAATTTCTACTTTTTACTTATACCTTTGGTAACAAACCGTTTCGGATTTCAAGTCATCAATAATGCTGATAGCCAGCTCGGTCACCGGATGAAATAAATGAACGTGTCAAGTTAGCATAACAAGACTTCTCAGTAGAGCAGTTTTGTATTGTTTCGAAGAATAAAACTAAGCGATTTATATCGCTAGTAGACGGTGGCAGCTGCGCTCGCAGTTATATTTACTGGAATATTCCAAACAAGCCAACGCCAAACAAGCGAATTCTAAACAGAGTCGTTCAGAAAGACAATACAACTTTAAAATTAACTCATAGGGATAACGACGAATAGACACAGGGCACAGAGAAGTAGAGAGAGAGATAGATATAAACAGCGAATTTACAAGACAGGGTCGGGATTGGTTGAACGCACATTTTTTAGTTTGGATTAACAAACTTCAAGGACCGATTTCTTACGTGATTTTAAGAAGAGTTCAGATAAAATAGGTTCGAAATGATTTGTTTTCATAAAACTTTTTTTTTTGTAAAGTCGTTTTTTCGAAAATCTAATAAACTTGTACAACTAAAATCGTTAAAGAAAATATTTATTAATTATCTCTGCCTTAAAAAACTCGAACACAAGTTAACAAAATCAGCAAAAAGTTGTTGAAAAACATTTTTTTTTAAATATATAATTAAAATAAAGCTTTTTCAAATCTAGGTTTATAAGGACATTTTTCTTTAATACACTTAAGTACAAAATAAACCCAACAAGAAAAATTTTGGTTGAATTCGGAACGTCATAAGTTTTTTACTTTAACCTCGATTTTATTGATTTTTTCGACAGGCCGTTGGTAACACTCATTGGCATATGAGTTTTGGATTGCAGCCACGGTTTGACTTGTTGTACAGGGTAAATAAAAATTATGTCATTACTCCCTGAGGTGTGAGTTCAGTTGCCAATCAGAACACAATGCTTTCCGTTATCTTGAAACACATTTTCTCTATAATTAGTAGTTGAATTTTTCTTCCTCCGTTCATAACTTTTTCAATTCCGGTACTATTTCACAAAGTTTCATCAAATTTTGAGATAGTGTTAGGGTAATAACCATATCTTCCTTATCCTCCAATTTTGGAATCATGAACATTCGAGCGAGTAATTGCTCCTTTGGAGCAGAATGAATGTAACACTAGAATCATTCACAAATTTTAATCAGTATTATACTCTTCAGATAGGCGGCTTCTAGTTCATTTTCAAATTGCACACTGAAGACGATGGATAACCAACTTGTAACATAACAAGTGCCAATCTTCTATTTTGGGCGTTTGGGCTTAACTTTGATTGTTATCTTAATAGAAAAACACTTCTTGATAATGGTAAAGTGTATTTTTGTCAGCATCAAATTGGTCATGTCACCACAGACACGAAGACGTTTTGGGGATGAAGCACGCGGTACCTAAAAGTGGCAAGAATTTTACAAACAACACATAGTTGTAACGTTCTACTGCTTGAATTACATTTCAACCGAATAATATACACTCATAAGTACTTCTTCTAAAGCGTCTACATATTTTAAAATATTAGCGCTCTGTAGCTACAGCTCTGCAACGAGTACTGTTGGACTATTTTTTTCACAAAAAAATAAGGTGACGAGATCTCATCGATGAACTAAAGTTCGCCCCTGTGTGACGGAACAATTCTCGTTATCCCGCCGCCAAACACAGAACCATAAAATAAGACAAAAGGTTCGCAAAACAGTGGACGCTAATTGACTGGCTGTCCTGATGTTTTTTCTCTGTTTTCCCATTCGATAACAAATTTTACAGGACAGCAAAATAAAACGAACCTACCTGCGCCTGCGGCAAACGAAGCTGTGTCTCGAAAAAATGTGACACAACAAAACAGGATGTCTGTTGATTCATTTGACCCGCGTAATCAAACCAATTACATGATGACTGTCTGGGTTTGATATAGGGAAGACGGGAAGCTTCAGTGAAATATAGAACTCACAGAGATATACACACAAGTTTAAAGTACCAGGGGAATGGGTTACGGAGTTTTTTCTCCAAAGCCAACGACAAATGTCCCTGCTTTATGCTGAACACAAGTTTCACAGAGAACAAACTACGTTCATGAATTATAAAGCCTCAGAGATGTTAATTTTTGACGCAGACGAGTATCCATTACTGTAGTATTTCAAATCTCCCATATCGACAAATGACACATAATTCTGACGGATTCTTCAACGCCATATAGACAGAGCCGTGTTTTATTTTGGCTTTTTGTACTCTACAGATTCATTTTATACTTGCTAATAGCTCTTGTATCAAGAAAAGTGTATTTGCAAAAAACGGTACAAGTATCACTAGATTTACAGCCGATTCATTATTGCCAACGTTACAGACTGATACTCGTACAAAGATGTCACTTGCTGATCTGTTCACCTCAGTAGACGTCAAAACGTGATGGATACACGTGAAATAGGGTTTGGATCAGATGGCTTCCTGAGTGATGTTAACCTCATTTACAGATACGTTATGAATGGCATGTCTAATATTTCAAAATAGCGTAGTAGATATGGGACAAGTGTACTGATTTCTTGTCATAAGCAAACTGGTTTGTCTGAAATTAATATAATATACTTGCCATTAATAAGCAATATTCAAGTAAATTAGGAGTATTACTGAGAGCGCCCTAGTTTAGTCCTGTAAATTATTTAGTTCTTACAAGTAACTCTATTCTTTGTGGTAGCAACTCCTCCAACTCGGTAGAAGTATTCATTCATATTGCAAATTAATATTTTAATTGTAAGAAGTAAACTGTTATATTGAAAATCATTATAAAACTTGCGGTCGAAAAGTGCCGAAAAGTATGGATTATAGCAGCAAGAAAACAAAAGTTACTCGTAAAACCGGTACGCTGTGCTCTAGCTGATTAGCTTTTATGGCACTGCGCAGCAGCTTACACGATTTAGTTTAGTATCAAAATATAATTGTCAGTTTGAAATTAATATTTTTCTCATCATCAAATATTTTGCAAATCCCATCTTTAACTGTAACTAAATGTCCCTGAGGCAAAATTTCGATATATGGTCCTAGTCAAACATCGTTCTATGTTAAAAACTTTTGAATTTGAGTAAAACTAATGTTCGACCGAGAGTTAGGCATCTCAACCTCCGTTTTTTGGCAGCAGTAACCAAATGAAACGTTTCCAGGGTTTCATAATTTGTGGATCGAGAGATGTTCCTCGCTCATTGGAAATATTTCCATCTGTATAATGATTTTTATTCAATTTTACAGGTATATAATTGATCCTTACCAAATCATCGTCGGATTTTGTATTATCTTCTGCAGCATTCATAGATCTCGTTCTCATATTTAAGTGGTTTTAACATAAGATACGTATTTTCGACAAAAGTAGCATATACCTGTCAGTTTGCTTTCAAAAACGTGGTATTAGGACTTGTAGTATTTACTTGTATTCGCATGTAACTTTACTAGACATTTACTATATGTTTGTTGACGCGTATATGTGTATTTTGCTTCGTATTCAAATATTGCACTGCATTTTCATGTATCATATTAATACCATTAAATTTGGAAGGACAGTAAATTGCTAATTTACATTTTATTACATCATAGTCTACAGAAACCAGGTATATTACTAGGCTTTGTATCCCTACGTTTACATTTAGACTGTTAATACTGAGATTAATTCGTGCGCTTACATTTTCGGTTATTTCTTCCATGATAGCAATTAATAGCATCAGTTCAAATAAAAATGTATCAAATAACACTTCCTAATCTCGGTAAGACATTATCGTTTATGCAACACAAAAACTGTCAGAACATGATCGAAGACAAAACATAAAATGTTAAAATCAAAAATGTTATCAACCAGAAGCGCTTTAGTGATTTACGGATACCCAGTTCTAGGAGACTCTAGGAAACTACCATTAACTTGAATTATGCTGAGATTGTGCTTGTATGAATTATAACCCTTAACAAGATTGTCAAAACTTCGGTACAAAAAGCCTTATATTACTCGAATATGAATCTGCTCCAGTTTCATCAGGCCATCTCCTGTTTCATTTCTGAGAAAACGCAATGTAACTTTAGTTATTAAATACAAGCACTACACAAAGAAACTTCCATTTCCTCTTCCCTATTCAACCCCCAAAACTACAATTTCAAATAATTTCGTTTCGCCCAGACACAAAACTTTAATTATAAACTTATCAACGTTTAACTGGAATTCCCAAAAGTTAATTTTCCATTTGCATATCCCCATGAGCTAGCGGCAGCTATTTAGATGGTGCATTGTTTCTGCTTCACAGAAGTTATTGCTAAGAAAATTAATAAAGCTTCGTCTAGTGTGAGTGACGCGTGAACAATACGGACGTTATAAGACTACTGTGTATGAGACAGCATCTTTGTCTGATGGATATTAAAGGCTTTGTTAAGTCCGCTTGGCAGAAGCATACAAAACAATTTTAATTAGCGTTCTTTTATAAGAACTGTATCTATTGTAGAGAAAACGTGCGAGTAATACGAACTAGTCATGACCGTTTTTGTATTAACATAGAAGAGGCATTGATCAACAAGACTAAACATCTTAGAAACCAATCTACGCCATTACTGCTATAAGGAATAAGGGCTCCGTGGCTGACGTTTGAGAGACTATAATATGAAATACCAGTTTTTTAACACATTCTGGACGTGCACTGCAGTAACGAAACAAATAAGTTAAAGGGATTTATGTGGAGATTCCATGATCTTGGAGGCCAATATTCTAAAGTTTGTATGACACATCTATATGGACCAGTCTTACCAGGTCCCCCGATTATTCGGTAGACCTACCGATTTTAGATCTATTCTACCGAGCTACCGATTTTAACGCGAAATTTAATAAAAAATCTTTTAAACTCTTTATATAAAAATATTTATGGTATAATTCAACGAAAGACAAGACTAGAGCACTTTGGCACCGTCCCAGCTCCTCAATTTTCGATTTGGTGCAACTCTGCGCTCTTCAAATTTTTAAATGGCACCATTTGATGCTACTCTCACTCCACTCTTGAATTTTCGATCACAGGGATTTGGTGCAACAAAGCGCTCTTAATTTTTTAACTAGTAGCATTTTAGCATTCGATAATACCTCCTTTAAGCGCTTCAATTTTCAAAACGGAGTGCAGCACAACCAATGTTTAATCATCCGAAAGTTTCTGCTTCATGTCTACCGAAATCCAACGAAACATTTCGCACAAATCTTCCCTGGCAACACTGATATGGACAATGATTTAGTGACATAACATACATACAATTCGTGTTTAGCCACAAGGCTGAAGACACAACTGATTACGAGTAACAAAATACAAATCACAAGAGATAAATACAAGCAATAGTAAAATATGTCAAACAATTATTACACGTTTGACGGACCCATTTTGGTTTAGCCCGATTCATGTATCATTAATGGGCCGTACTTTTTGTAAAATATTCGGCACTTCTCGTTTGAACTGCTGCGATGATGTCACATTTTCAAATATCGTAAAATGTAAGATAATTGATGTTGATGAATGCTACACGGGAACGAAATAAACTCAAAGTTCATGATGCTCTTTTTGTCTATAATGTGAAAAAACATATGTTCAATTGATATTGAGAATGATCTGTCAGTTTTAAGGTACTTTTAAAGAAAGATTTTTGCATATGTGTCATGTTTATTTTATAAAATAAAACAATATTAAAGTAGGTAGCTAGCTACCTTTTGTTGTTTTTTTAAACAAATATTTAGTAAATATTTGTAGTATAATATTTTTATTAAATATTTTTTCAATATCTTTTAAATATTTTAAATACAATATTTCTTTTACAATATTTATAAATATGTACTTTTCAATCAATGGAAAATATTAGATCTCCAATATTTAGAAAATATTCATTAAATATTTTCGGCTACGGCGCATGTGCGTGTGACCTCGAGCGACCAATGGGATAATAGCAAGCCGGCTTGAGGCGACCTGTTTGCCAGCATCTATTTTACCTGTGACTTTCACTATGATAGCGTGCTTCCTCTGCACCTCCAAGTGGTTCCTTATTTGAGTGTTTTTTTGTGGAAAAGGGTAAGTTATTCGATAATTACATAGCATAATTTAACTGACTAGTAAACATTATTGTGCCAGCTGAGTATAAAGGTATTCAAGACCATAAATAACTAGACTTGAAATGTAACAGTTAGTTAGTATTGATGGATTTATCTGAGAATGGATACGAAAATTATGTTCATAACATCCCAATGAAAAGACATATAATCGCAACTTGATCGAGATACATCAAAAATGCTTTTTTAAAATATCTCAATTATAATTATTTTTGTCGTAGTACGTTCAAAAATTCTAACAGTCGAAAATACCATACTTTTGTCCCTCGAATTATAATATAAAATCACAAAATAGTTATGGCTAAGTTAGCTCCTTTACGAAAAAAGTCACATTCCAACATCAATACCTAATTTTCAAAAACTTTTTCTTTAAAAGTTAGTTAAAGGATCAAGTCGTGCCCATGGACATTTTTCATCAAGATATCTAAAATAACATACAAAATTTTCTTAAAAATTAACCAAATCTCGAACTATCATAGACAGAAAATGTGGGGTCATTTTAGGTGCATTATACAGCTGCTTTTCAGCGACCCAGTTGAGCAACTCGGAGTAACTCACCATGCTCAACACCAATAAATACACTGGAAAGCAGCTTATGTAATCAATAATACTTCTTAATTAGTAAGTTTGTTTTTTTTTCAGAGGAGTGGACTTGCAAGGTGCAGAAGGGGCTTAGAATATTTTTTTAATAATATTTTTTCCAGAAAATTAAACCATTAGGTACATCTAGAATGCATTTTCTTTATAAACCTAATTTTATATACCTAAGCATTCCTAAGTACAGGTTTTGCTAAAATAACCAATGAAGAATTTTCTATATACACTGAAAATATCTATCAGATTAATGCTTGAAAATCCATACATATTTACGAAAAATATTAGATATTTCATCAATATATCTTTAAAAATCTTTCCTCATATATTTTCTAAATATTTGGAAAAAATATCGGGAAACTATGAATTATATATAGGTACTACAAATATCTATAATGAATATTTTATAAATATACGTATATAAGAAATATATTTATTAAATATTAAAAAATCTGTCACTACAAATATTTAACGAACATTTTTTGAAAATATTTAATGAATATTTAATGCTATCGGGGTATGGTTGCTAATGCCAAGTACATATAATCATTAGTATTTGGTGTAAAGAGTTATGAATGTGGCCCTGATTTTCACCAGATTCATTATTGCCATCACTATATACTGCTACAATAATGTTAACTTGCTGATTGGCTGTACACCACAATAGATGTCAAAATGTAATTAAATAACATAAAAAATTGATTGGACAATTTACATACTTTTGACTCATGATTTGAATTTATAAAGTTCTGTATTGATAAAAAAAACATCGCATATACATATACAATCTGTAAAAACACTCACCATGGCTGGATGAGGGGTGCTGTCATCACTGTCTTCACTGGTGGTGGGCTCTTGGCCAGGAGCAGGTGGGCTGTTGCCTCTCCCTTGAGGGTGTTGTGGAGATGTACCATACTGCCCCATAGGAGGTGGTTGGCCATGAGACATCATCATCTGTTGTTGCTGGAACAACGGAAAAATATACAAACAATTGAAAAAAAGATTGAGGTTATATGTTTTTGTATGTAAAAAATTGTACAAAACGTGACCACACGCCTATTGTCAAATGACTCCAGGAAATCAGAAATTTGAATAAATCATATCAAGTTAGAGTTACCTGGATCCGTCCCTGTAGTGTATACTGGAAATGATAATATATGGTTGTAGGAATCCTGATTTATTTACTCTTTATATTTTATTGCAACTGTATTATTCTCAATACTTATTATTGTTTGATTATACAATATACACAGTTACTTTGTTAGTGACTAGTAGCAATACTAAGGAGAACAGAAGTCAAACGACGTGTATTCTCAGGAGTCGCTTCTTGAAAAATGCTGTAATATCATCAAACACAAACACAAGCAAAAGGTGTGCAGTTTGCCATTCACTCTCATAGGCAACCAGTGTTGCGGACACGGCTTATAAATTAAAGGAAGCCATACACTCTCTCAAACTAAATATGCATCCCATACATGTCTATGTTTTTCTGAGGGTCATTTTTACAATATTTGGTAACATAGTGGCTGAAGCGGTGAAGTAGATCAGAAGCGGAGGCGTTTCATTAGAATATTATGTTGTCGTGACGCAAAAAACGAGCGTACATTGAAGCAGATGGAACCATACATACCTACTATCGACGTGCGTTTGATCCAAGAAGCGTTTGCAGTGCGACAATTCTGGTGACACTCTTAACATACAAAACGCGTAGCTGGCCGAGTTAAATATCTATGTAGTAGGTACGGGAATATAACTGGTTGAGTTCTATTCATTTCAAATTTCAAGTGGCAAACTAGCTACCGTGCTGTGACTGGTGCATTCGCCGCGCGCCGAACTCGTATGAACAGCAAGTCGCACGTTGAAGGCTCATTTGTTTTGCAGCGCGAAAACTTGTCGCCCGTGTGTACCAGCAGTTAGATGTTAGATGAATGGGAACAGTGCATCTCTAGCCGTCTCACTGTCGCATAGTGTAAGCTCCCTATAGAATTTTTTATTCTCTCAAGAGACAACAAACATTAACTTGGACTGAACTAAATCATCATATACATATTTACTCAAATTTGACATTATATGTTGTCAAAACATTTTACGTATCTAATCGTGTTCTTAATATTCATATTGTTTATAGAAAATCAAAGTAATGTTTATAATAAACGATTACTTGATAGCAGAGGTTAACGAATACTCTAGGGTAACGAAAATCAACATTATAGTAGTATTGTTCTAGCAACGCCAGTGAAAGAATTTTGTTATGTCACTATCACACAATTCATAGGCGCACCTCAGCCGACTACACGATAGAAAAATGATCTCTGGTTTGAACAAATCATTCAGTTATATTATGGGGCATCACAACATGAAAAGGGACAAATTGAAAAAGGACCACGAACAAGTTAATCAGTTCTCTCTAATAAAATGCATCGTACTCTTACCTGCTGTTGTATCATCAGTAGCTGATTGTTATGCTGCTGTTGCTGCTGCTGTTGTTGCTGACCATGGAAGCCAGGTTGTGGGCTGTGGTACGACTGTCCATGCATCCCATGATCACCAGGGGGGCCACTAAGGTACAGCGGCTGCTGGTACCCTCCTGTGGGGTCGTGCATGCCCAAAGCCTCCTGCTGCTGGGACATTTGTTGGTTCATTTGTTGCATGCCCTGGAAATACATAAGAGAAATTTTCTGTTAGAATGGTTGGGGAAGCCTAGTGTCAGGTAGCAAGTGTACACGTCAAAGGTTTGTATATTCATAGACATAATATCACTTAAAGATTATTTGATGGAGAAGTGATAGGGCAGTGAAATTTGAATAATTGTAAATAAGATATAGGTACCTGAATACGATACATCGGCTTTTATATCGCGATTTGAAGAAAGACGATGTACGGATGATATTTATAGGATAATTTTATTTGAACTTGCAAATGTCACAATACAAGGCAACAACCACGGCCTTAAGCATGATGATGTCGTCCGACCCGTCAAAGAAAGCTAATCACGGATAGCGATTTCGTGCTTTATGGCAACTTATCAGCATGGTCTAGACTTGATCCCTGGGAAAGCATAGTAACTATCCTCCACTCAGGATATTTGCACGACTTTTTTGTGTCATTGGCAAGGGAACAGTCCTATCGAATTGTCTAAATTCTCGTGCCAGATCTATTCCAGCATTAACAACTATGAGTCATCTTGCCCTTAAATTGCCCTTGTAAGGATCGTGGACAGTACCATGACACCTCTGAACACTTTCAACAACAGTAAACCGATTCACAGAGTTTTTGGTATAAGGACTACAATTGACACATTCACCATTCTTTCAAACTAGAGACTAGACAAACTATATGCGCCTATTTCGCAGAAATTAATCATTTGATTGCTTTGATCCCATGGGTACTTCTTTGAACTAATCGACTGGTGCCCATTTCCCATACGTTTTGTGTGGGGTCCTTTGACACATATTCCTACTACCTGGGCTATAACATTTTTTTTTAAATTATAGGCTCGCTCTCTGCGCTCAGACACATTACGTGAATCGTTCCTTAGTAGCAGCTTCTAGGTGTATGTCAATAAGAAAAAGGAAATTGGTACAACCAAGATGATTAACCATCACATGTCATACAACATGGGTGTTCAAGAAAAATAGATACTCAACTTCGTAAGCTTAAGAAGACGTGGATAAAACATAGGGAATAGCGAATTGCGGCTACGGCAACAATGTACCTTCATAAACATGTGCCGCAAGTTTCGAAGCAAACGGTAAGTGTTGTCAGGATATGAGTGAACGGGCTCGTGGTATGCACGATCAATTTATCTGAACACAACATTTTGTCACTGGTTTAATTCTTTTGTTCGCGGTGGTATATATAAATTGGACACAGTCTTCTTCTCTGATGATGCTTGGGTGCAACGCAAAGAATTACCGTCTATTGGGAAGTGAAAATCCTCATGCCTGTGGAAAAAGGGTCACACCCCTAGAAAATAGGGATATGGTGCGCAGTATCGCGCGCACGAGTTGTTGGACCCTTCTTCTTCACTGAAACCATCACTGCGGAGCGATATCAACACGTCCTCGAATTTTTTACTGCGTCTTTGGAGCCGGAGGAACGTTATTGCTGGTTTCAGCAAGATGGGGCCACAGCTCACACCGCTGGTTCGATCATGCAGATCCTAAGCGAATTTTTTGGAGACTGTATCATTTCGCGACCATTGTGGCCACTACGTAGCCCTGATTTGTCGCCTCCAGATTTTCATTTATGGGGCTACGTCAAAGACAGGGTTTTTCAGAACCCACCCACCTCAATCCCAGCCCTTAAAGCGCGAATCACACAGGCAGTCTTACGCAATATGCAGAAAAGTATAGGAGCCTGTATTCGAGAGGGTGGTGGACAATTCGAGCATATGCTTTAGGTTTTATTTTTTATTCGTATGTATATTTTTTAGTATTCTTTGTGACTTTTTATATTAAATTGTACGCGTTTGTAAACAGAGTATCTATTTTTCTTGAACACCCGGTATTAGATACTTCTAAATGCTTCAAGTGAATTGTACCACAAATTACTTATTCATATTGCAGTGAATTTGGATTTTGGGAAAGGGGCGATTACCGTCTTACCGTCTTTACTTACAAATGTGAGATACCTACATGGATTATATCAAATTTATTACTTTCATCTGCAACAACGTACTATAAAAGATAAGAGTGTTACTTTGGATAATGGTAATATTTATTCATCTTTGTCAACCATAAAGCACAAACACAAAGGAATAACTAAAAACGTTTTTTTTCAATATTTGCACATAATTATCTAGCTCCTATGCTGGCTGAATCACACATCCGCATGTAAGTACACATGAGAATTTAAATTAATATGCATATCTCCTTGTGAGAGCGGAATTATTATACAAAGTATTAATTTATCTATCCTCAAAACAAGGGAGTGTCAGTACATTTAAAATGCACTTTTTGTTATTTATCAATGATTTATTACAGGTGAGAAAATTGAAACGCATACCATAATTAATTTTATTTATATTGAACTACATCAATCAACAACTAACTCCTTGTTTGTAGAGACGATTAAGAATTCAGATATAATAAGATTATCATGTGGTGACATATGTTGGGGACAAACGAGCTTGAAACATCATTTATGCTTGTTCTTGCCAATCATAATAAGAATATATTTAAAATACAATGTGTCCCGTTATTTGTTAATCATAATAAAGACATATGTCAACACTGGCAGATCCTTGAGCTATCTATCGAGGCAAACGCTAAAAATATTTACTAGTTATATTACTTGAACTATAACGTTTACAGAATAGCTGCAATCAGGTCATTCCTGCTGCTTGCCGAGAGCCTACATCATTTTGGCGAGAATTAATGAAGCAGCATGGTCTATGACAGATTTTGAATGAGCAAATGTAAATATGCAACATTTTCAAACAATTACACACGAGAAGCTGCCACTACATTTCATAATTAAAGTAATTCAGCAATGTCTGAATACTACGGATATACTTTTCATACATATATATCCATTACGTATTCAGCCCATTACTAAAAAAATAATGTCCACACTCTCTATGAGTGTAATTTGGTTATCGACCAAGATACTATTCTAAAACCACACTCTGACCTTTGCATTTTTTGTAAAGTTCATACTATGACAAGAACAGAAAATTATTATGATGTAAAATTGAAATTTCCATAGTAGGATTAACACAATACATAAGTCATCAGTGCAAAGAACAAAGTTAGTCTTAGAATAGAAGTGCTATTCTATAAAGCATTTTTTATGCCGCAAAATTTCGTGCTCCTTTCTTTTTTTTAATAATGGATCTATAGATTGTATTGTATTGTATTGTATTGTATTACGATGACAACATTTCAAATGACCGCCAAAAAAGCCACAAGTATTTTTTTCACCCAAATAATACATACGTAAAATTAGAATATAGAATCGAATATATCACCTTTATTGGATTTTATGGATACTGTGGACGGGTTCGCTATAATAGCATTCATATTTTCGTCGCCGTTCCCAATTTTCATAATGCGGTAAAAAAGCTACAGTGCAGGAAAATGTGCGACACTGATGGAACATCATATTTGAATCTTATTTTCTAAATAAATCCTCGTTTATAAGACTTTCATTGTTAACAAAAACAATGTTTTGATTGTTCTGATCGCTTTGTAGGTGTGTGTATTTTTGGCAGTTACAATGCAATATCTATTTATTTAATTATAACCGAAACAGGGAAATTTGCTTATCAGGAGAGCATGTTATCCTATTTGTTTAATAGCCAGTTGCTAGATAAATTGTTTCCCAGTGTCGATTTAGTTTACAGCAATTTTATTGAACATTTTCATTCATCCGCAGGCTAGACTGGTATATCGAAATTCAAAAAGTTTTTTCCACGTGGGCATTAACTAAAGCACTAATTCGTATGTTACGATTTAGGCAAACCGAAATTTTAATCGATACAGAATCATGTAAAACCGTAATGCCACGAAATAACTCTGGTTAAATGACAGTTCTTCTGTTATCATAAACTAATTACACATTTTTATAAGTTCATTTTAGATCATGTATCCCAAACATGAGACAGGATTTCTTGGACCATTCTAAAACCATTTTGCACTCTGATGATTTTCAAAAAATCGCTTCGTTTGGGATATACAGGCCCTTAAAGGACGCCACCGAAAATTAGTTTCTCCCAAGCAACATTTGAAATCATCGTGTACGACATTTTAACCGAGTAGAATTAACATCGCATTTACGCACTGTCAAAATAAATGCCAGCGCGCGACGCTCAAATCTGTGTTAGGGCTAACACGTATCTGTGTTAATTTTTTTTAAAATCCATCAGGCTATGACTTAAGTAATTACTACAGTGTTGTTCTAATGTTATTAAAGAAAAACCGATTTCCAGTAGTTCTTTTAGGGCCTTTGTCTCCGAATCGAAGCATTTATTTGAAAATCGTCAAAGCACAAAATAGTTAGAATAATTCAAACAATCACCACTGATTCCGACATACGATTTCAGTCAGGGAGCGAGAGAATTTAAATGTACAGGAAATTAATGTATTTATCGAGGTATTTATGGGGAAAAGTTATTCTGATGTTAGGGAAGGGGAGTGGAGCCAAAAGAAAATGCAGTATCATTTGACATATAGCTTATTGCACAAGGTATTCCAAATACAGTTATATTGACATGACTTTACAGAATAGCACCATTGCAGTGTTAGCCCATTACCTGCATTGGAGGCTGGTAGTGCGATTGTTGCTCGTGATGGACTTGCTGCTGCCCTTGCTGTTGTTGACCTCCACCCTGCTGGGGGTTTATTGCAGGAATGTCGAATTCCTCGTCGCCGAAACTTGGCGTATGAAATGTCTGAAACAAAAAAAAGGATTCGTTAATGTTTGAAATTTGAATAATATGAGTAGGAAATATTTTGTCATTTTGCAAATTACCTTGTACTAGTTATTTCCAGTTATTCGTCAATTCAAAAAACCGCACGTTATATTACCGCCGATACTTCTATGATCTTGTTGTGTGTTTGGTCAAAAACTCCGTTATCATAAGAATATATCCAATAAAAGTATTTATAAGTGAAGTTTTTTTTGCTGACGCAGACACGTAAGTAGCAAACTAAATGCCGAGGTACTGCGACTGCTATATGGAGCTTAGAGACACCTATCCGATTTTTGAACTGCCTGAGGTTTGCAGTACTGGGAAGAGCCTCCTCACGAAGATTGTTGTTCCACAACGTCGTTCCCCTAGGAATAAAGAAGCAGTCGTAGTTGCCCGTTCTGGATGGACATTGAACAAACCTCTACAGTGTTAGGATGATGGTAAGAAGCCTGGCAGGTCCGTCTGGTAGGGTCAACGCGCGACGGCATCATGGTGGAAAGCTTTAAGGAGCAGTCGTAGCGGTAGAAGAGAGCACCAATGGCTTGCCGGTGAGAAAGGAGTCCGAGACTGAGAGAGAAATGTCATCCATTATATAGTCGGACATCCTTTGTATGAAGAACATCGAGTGTAGACAGTGTAGTCGAAGCGGCAGCACCACAAACATGTGAGCATTACTTGAGGCTGGGCCTTATCTGGGTCTTATACAGAGTGAGGAGGTTATTTTGCGTGTACAAGAAGTGATAACTCTCGTCAAAGAGAAAGTCGCTGTTTGTTTTGTTCTTTCCAGCTCATCGACAGAGATCGAAATGACACTCCGAATGGTTGCGTGAAAAGTGCTGTCATCAACAAAGCTGTGGATCGGATGAGGTTGTTTATACGTAATAAAAACTGGCTTGGAACCATGAGGAACATCCGCATTTTGTAAACCGAATAGTGTATATTTCCGCATATTTTAAACTTTCTAAAATGAGACTCACAGAAAGCGCTGATCTAGGTTCACTCTGAGTTTCTCAGAAACGCGGTGATCAGTTCATAAAATTTTATTTTCAGCACAAGTTAGCCTCTCGTAGATAGATCTACTAAGAACATGTATCATGAAGTACAAAGTTCAAGTCACTGAAATAGGACTTCTAGTCGCCACACATGTAACAACGTTGCGATCCCCTGCCAAATCAATTATCCGAAAACGTTATAGTCAGAGTTGAGATGAGTAAGCCGCCACCGCCAGTACCTTGTACCTCTTATTTTGTTGTGCTTCATGCCGCATCGGAACTACCTATTTCCATTATTTCAAGTCTGAAGTGCAATTATACGGGGAAATATATATTAGAAATGTATCTAATGGGTGTGCAAAATTACCAAGGTTAGGAGGGCATCAAAAAACGACTACTCTGTGTAACCCCTTGTCCCGATGTTTTACGCGTCAAAAGATTTCCAAAAGTGAACAGGACATTCATTTTAGCTTTAAGCTTGTTAGTAACCAGAAGTCCGGTCAACGTTAACATACGTGTTGAAGGAAGTAATAAACGTCATTTACAAAGTCGAAGGCAGTACTACAGAAAGAATAACTAATTAAAAAGTTACCCGAGCCATGGATGTAGAAGAAGAAGTAGTTTGGAACTAAATAAAACTTTCGGTCTACTTTGTATTTCCGCAATTCATTCTGGATTTAGAGAAACAAAGTTACCAACTGTCGAAGAAATTAAACTTAAAAAGTTTTCAGAGTATAAAATTTTCTTTCCTCCGTTTTAAGAGGGAATTCTCCACAAGACTCGTAAGTAAATATTTGCGTTTTAAATAAATAGTTCCTTTGGAAGTTTGCTTTAATTTGCAGAGTCGAGGGATGTTGATGCTTCATTTTGTTGAATTAGTGTAGTTGAAATATCACACCAATCATTTTAAGTGCGGAAGAGATGTTTACTACATTGACTCTATAAGCAGCCTTGTACAAGGACAAAAATGGCTGGTACATTACGTAACTAGTTCTCAGGTATGTTAGAAGATCAGTTATTTACTGATTTGTTCACAAGCAAAATACATAGTTCTTGGGCGTTATACGCAGACTTACAAATCTGTAGTTGTCCCTGTGGTATATTTTTGAATCTCAGTTCTAATTGGTCCTCGAAAACCATCAACTTTGTGCTGCGCACCTAATTTCAACAGTTACTGAATTGTAGAGCATTGAGCCTCAAAAGTAAACAATTATAAATTAAACCACTTTACTTTAAACCTTAAAAGCTTAACATGTTATATGTTATATTTCTATCGTTTTTGATACGCAATATTTTTCAAAGCAAATCACAATAGCCATTTATGCCAAGTGTGCAAAGTGGCACAAATTGTTTGCGATGAATTTGTATTTATGGTGTGATTGAGAAGAGCGTGCAATATTTTGAAAATAGTTCTAGGACATAAAGGGAATTCAAAAATAATTCGAATAAAATATATCTATGAAGTAGATTAATATAATGACTCAAAATTTTGTACATATAGTACTGGCATCATAGCCAATACATACCTGAGACCACAGCAATGTCGTAAGAATTGAAAAAATTGGACCCCTACAGGGAAAAAATAGAAAATCATTACCTAAGGCAGTAACATTGTTGAAACATCTATTACATTCAAGTAATCAATTTTACATTATTCGGCTCTGAGGAGTATTAGGCAAACTACCCCTCTTTGGAAAAAATTGGTTTGAGGTAAATTGCAGATAAAAAGATTTCGACCCATTGTACTTATACTTTGAAGTTAGCGAAGTTTTACATTGGTCGTTATATGTATGTGTATTAGGATAGTAATTCTAGCTCACCTTAGCGCTATTTAAATAACATTCAATGTTCATGTTATGTTCTTACCCAGTCCAATTAAAGCAATGGCATAGAAATTTACAACACCCAGCATTTTGGTAATAGGGTGTATCTTTAGAGGAACTATTTTTGTTACTTTTGGATATACTTTCTACCCTTGAGAAATTGACACGTTTTTTTTAATCATATCATATTATATCATATTTCAATAATATTTAGTTAGTTACGTTAAATAAAATGTACAAGTAGGTATCATATACTTCTAACGAGAACTACATCTACTTATTATAATGGCATTCGGAATTCTACAAACATGGAAGTGCTCGATTGTCAGACTGATCGCATGGCATTTTCGTTACTTTGTGGCTGAAGAGCGGCACATATGTTATTTGCGACGGCAGATTGTAGAAAAATTCTGTTTCCACTACCAGATACCATTATTGACCTACATGCCCTATTGAAAAGCAGCATTTATCTCCTCAGATAAATGATGAAAACAAAAACCTAGGAGAATAATAATTTCATTTAAAATTGCATCGTGCCATTTTATTGATAGACATTTGAACTTTATAGTTGCGGTCGTTTTACACACATTCTCAGATATGCTCATTTCACTTCGGTTTTTTCAGTTCAGTGCTCGTTCTTTTATTGAAAGCTCAGTTCAACCAACATCAGCGAGTGAGATTTGTCCTCACATGACGCTTTTAGGTCAAGCTTATTTGTTTACTTGCAAAATACACCGAATTCAAATTCAGATTCAGATTTTTAACTTTGCTCACAATTCGATTCTTATGGCGAATACAGAAGTGTTTATTTATTTAGTCTTGATTGCAGCTCCATGGTCAGTCAAAAACAATTTTTTTTCTAAATTACCTTTTGATAAAGGTTAGTACACTTGTCATTTTTGAACTTTGGGGTGATTCATTGATTTGACATCCTCATTTCTGTTTGGACTGTCTCATATCACTTGAAAAACGAACGCAACTCATATTTCGAAATATTTGAAAAATATTAAGAAATGAGTAAAGTTGAGCATAGCTCCTCACGTAATTATCTCAACGTAATGTATGAAAACGGCTTTTAATGATAAAAAAAGAAAACTATTCTACCTCATTCCCCTTGAATAGTTCAGTCTAAACCAAATCGGCTGTCTGTTATAGATATTAATTTTAGTTTTGTCAGTTTGACACCAGGTAGCTAAACTGAAGTATTTGTAAAAAGAGTTGGAAACATCAGGAACTTGATGGGGAATCGTATATTTTGTCAGTAGTGAAAACATTCTATACATACCTTTGGGTGAGAAGTCTATTACTACAGGCGCCTCAGGTTATAAAAGTGCTCACCCAAATACACGGTCCGTCAGAAAGAACGCATGATTTTCGAATGGGTACTAAATCGAGTCGACTGGTCCTGTGTCGGTGGGGAAGGGCGTGTTGGATAGTGGGACAAGTGCCGTTTCAGTTGGAAAGGTGGTTTGGAACGTTGACCATCGTGTGTTGACTGTACGACGGTCTGTCATTCGAACTCAACGTGAGTTTCGCGTTCACTTTCGTGTTTCACGTCGTGGTACAGTACCAGACCGTAACACCATTTTGAGATGAGTGGAAGCATTCAACACAACAGGTAATGTGATGAAGAAAAAACCGCCAGGGCGAAACCGTACTGTTAGAACCCCCGAAAACGTAGACAGAGTGAGAGTTGACACGCTGCAAAGCCCGAATCGTTCCGTCCGTTTGCGTGCCAGTTCCCTAGGGATCCACGCGCCCTCTGTACGTCGCATCTTGAAGAAGGATTTAGTGTTCCATCCTTACAAACTGTTGCCAGGGGATTATGTGTTAATTTAGCACAGCTCATGATTGAACAGTTGGATAACAATGACATGACGTTGTTTATGAGTGATGAAGCACATTTTCATTTACATGGATACGTCAATAAACAAAATTGTCGATATTGGTCTCCAGTGAACCCCCAACAGTTGCATCAGCACCCCCTGCATACCCCGAAAGTTACAGTTTGGTATGCAATAGGCCCAACGATGATTATTGGCACTTATTTTTTTGAGGATGACGGAGAAACAACAACTGTGAATTCAGAGCGTTACTTCCACATGCTGAACAACTTTTTTTTCCGGAACTTTGACGTCGACGTGTCCGTCTCAGAACAGTGTGG